CCAGAATTCATCCTCAATAAGTTTGCTGATCTCAAGATTGAACAAGCCTTATTTTAGCTTAACATTACTCCACATATCAGTAATGCACTTCAAATATTTTGATAGCCTGATTTTTTGAATGTAGTCAGTGTCACTCGTTGCATTTCCGGCATTTTAGTTCTTCTAAATTCACTGCCTACCTTTCTAATCTCAAGCAGTGGCAGCAGTAGAGACAAGGTAGAGGAGCTTTTTAGGAATAGCTCCAGGTAGAAGTGAGCTGCGACGACGTCGGAAGCATTAACATTTGTATTTCTGTGTTTTGACTGCTATATTTCACTGAATTTACAGACAGGATTCCAAAAAGATAACTCAATTATGGCACTAAAACAGCTTCCACATGACGATCGAAATAAATCGCGCAGTTGTGTCCTTATTGTGTTGACTACACTTTAAAATGAGAGGAATGTTTTACTGTCACCAGTTGTTGTTTACAATTCTACATTGCTTCTTTCGCTTTCTGATATTTAACTTATATTTGACGTGTTTCAAGTTCCTTAACTTATTATTATAACAATCATACCTTTTGCCACACATATGCTTAAGTGGTCAGTAGCTATGATTGATGCCTGTGAATCAGCGACTGCCGGGTTGAATCCCGAAATGCAAAGGTAATTTTTAGACTTATAATAACAATATAAATATGTAAATCCAATTAGTTAGTCAGCACCTTGTTGCAGTCCCACAAAAATATATATGATATAAAGCGGTCTTCAATAATTTTTTCAAAAATAAAACTTATAGGCTGAACAAGGGTTGGAAAAGACTGTTATATAATGCCTTGAAAAGCTTATAATTTATATAACTGTTAAGCTTTTGGCTGATTAAAATCACCAGATTTAGATGTTTAAAAGCTGAAAAAAGGTTAACGTGGTCTATGTACAACAATTACTCAAACTAATGCTGAATTAAAATCGATTGAACAACACTTGTTAAGCATCAAATTGCTACCTGTGTATTAATGCGACAATACTAATCCAATGTGCACTCCTTTGCCTAGCTCGCTTGATGGGTTAGAGGATTTGAGACATTTCTTCAAATCCAGAGGCAAAAGAGTGCGCATTCTAGCGTTCTAGCGACGATTACAACTACCTAAAGCCCCACGTTGCCGAAAACATTCCCTGGCGATTTTGTTTTATAATGCAACTCTTCTTTACTCAACTATTATCGCTCTAAAGCAGCGGTGCCCAACGTGCGGCCAGCGGGCCGGATCTTGTCTCTGCATATCAGCAAGAATGAATGAGAAATATAAAAAATGCATCTTGGAACATGTTAATCGATCAAAGATACAGCCATTTAAAAAATCAGGGTTGGGTAGACCTGCTCTAAAGCTTCATTTTGATATTAGTATAGCATTTCTTCCAACTCTGAAATTCCAAGTTTATTCCGAAGAGAACTCGTTGGAATTTAAATAGGTATTGTTTTGGAATTCCAAGGAGTAAAAACTAATTCTGAAATAAATTCAAAGGCTTTGCAAGGAATGTGTAAAAACTGATGACCCGATACTAAGCAGTACCAGCACCGGCCGTGCCCGAATGCAGGTCAACTAAGAAGTGGAAAGGAATGTGATTACGTGATACTCGCTTTGAAGGAAGCCGATTCTGGATACATGGGGTAGGGTTTGCAGCAGGGTTCATTTTGGTTAACTTATGCTGAATGTAGCGACGCAGGCCGACTACGACCTATTGACGACCGGCTACGGCGCAACGATTGATGTGATAGAGCTTGGGTTTTATCCACTGATTTTCTGTTTAATAAGCGGAAACGATCCCTCCAGGGTCATCAAACTCTTCGAATTACAACAAACACATCATACACAACTACGACTACGAGCACTCCATTTATATGCATCATATTGAATAGAAATTGACGGCAATGATTTCAAAAACTTTATAATAATTCTGACATAAATTTCAAGAGAATTGTGATCTTACATATTCTGAGAATAGTGTGAGGGAGTGCGACACATCTAAATCTCTAACCATGTTAGCAAATCAATCTATGAAAAATATACTTTCATTTATCGCAACAACGTGCATCGCGTTTAATATTTTTGCAGAAAATCTTCAAAATCTCTATTTATCTTCTATCGATATAAGTACTCACACTATTCTAAGATGAATTCTAATTCAGAGGAAATTTTCTTGCGAATCACGAGGAAGATTCCAAGAGGCTTCTAAGGAGAATGTCTGTGAAATTTTGGACACCTTCCAAGGAAAAGAAACTTATTGAAATGATTAAAAATTTACAAGAAATTTTTCAAAGAGGATTTCAACCAAATTTATATAGAATACTTAAGGAATAGTGTGGTGTGTTCCTAGGCAATCGACAGGAAGATTCTTTGGACAGTTAAAAGTATATTTTGGGCATTTTTTTTCCTGTTTGGGACATAAACCACTGTGACCAAAAATTTGATCTATTGTAGCATGTCCCGTGTCCTTTGTTTAGTGCATGTCTTATTACTCCATCACTGTTGAGAAATGATAAAGTATTTGGTTTTAAAACAGTTGTCATTCTTGTCTTGATCGCAAGGAATTGATTCTAATTGAAAGGTCCCGCTATTTATACCCTTCGGAGTGTTGAAACACCCTCCACAGGAGCGCCCCTTTGTCAGTCAAATTTGGATTCCTCAGCAAAAAAATTAAGGAATGACACCACAGTGGCGCCGGTGGTGTAGTGGTAAGCGTAATTACCTCTCACCCCAGCAGGCCTGGGTTCAGTCCCAGTCTGCGCCGCTGGGATGTTCGTGAGTTGATGAGTCGATAGGTAGGGTCCAGGTGTGGGAGCTTGCCTCCCTGGCCTCGGTAGCATTGGTGCTCAGCACGGAAAACAAGATCGGTGGAAAACAAATCAAGGAGAAAAAAAGGAATTACTCCGATAATCAGAACCCTAGTCTTAACCACTTCAACCTAGGGAACAACGAATAGAAGATCAGGAATCACATAGATGAAGACTAACTAACTCCTTTGATACTTGTTTCAAGATCATCCTCGGTGGACAAGGCCGAGTCTTGTCACTATCAACGAGGCATACAAAGTTTTAAGGACTAAGATGTGTTTCTTTGATTACTAAAAAATCCTGTTCCCCTAGTTTAAAGTAGTCAGTACTAGGAATCGGTTTTAGATCTTACATCTCGTAACGTACCGCGAAAAGGTGATCTACCCGCGTTACGGGGCACCTGTTTTCGGATAGTTTTTGACCCAAGCTCTTCAGATGGTAAACAACACATACGTAGCACTAGTATGTATGTGATCTTCCGGTATACCTAAAATATTTGGTTGAGGCTTGAAATCTATGCCCGATGCCATTTTGTAATACAATAGCCCTTGGTTTTAGAAAAACTGACATTTAACGTACAATATGGGTATTTTCGGAACTGGGAACTGGTGTAGAGGCCGAAAATCAAAATCTGCCGAAATTTTGAAACTCAAAGTGGCGGCCATCGTTGTCGAATACCTAAACTGTGGGTATTTTCGGAACGGGATGACGTGAAGGGGCCGAAAATCAATATCCGATGCCATTTTGGAGTCCAAAATAGGGGCGCTCGGATTCAAATACTCTACAATACGGGTATTTTCGAACCGGGAACGGGTGCAGTCTACCCTCCACTATTTCACGACAGTCCTTCAACTAATTGAGCTGATTTTAGTTTAGATTGAGAATGAGATTCGTGTCAAATAATACATTTTATTTAAATAATCATATTATTCGTTTATGCACATTAGGGTGGGTCAGCAGATTGATGTAAAATTTGAAATTTTCGCTCCACAGTGTTCAAACGGTTTCAAATTGAGCCCTGATTAGCCTCCGAAAGTTTAAACTAATTTGATAAGAAACTGACTTGGCACAAACCATTTGAAGTTTATATGGAAATTACTATGGGAAAACAAAACTTTTTGTTCATTGTCTTATAGCGTTTTACATAGCGTACTGTTAACAAATTCTTTTGCTATTATTATGGGAATTTGTATCAGCTACAACTTTACAGAAAAACGTTTTTCAGCGAAACGTCAAATTTAATAGTTATTAATTGTTTAAGAGATTGATAATCTTATGGCAAGATTAAGAAACTGTATTGTGGGCAACACTGTATTCTGCAGTGTAACATAGTAGCCATGATTTTTGTCCTCTTCTACGCGCCATAAACAACAATGTTGCCTGCTGAACAGTTGATTGAGCATAATCATAAGACATAAGTGACTTGAATCATTAATAATTTTTGTTATTAATTTTTGTTCCTTACATTTGATCGAAAAGTGGTCATTAACAAAGTTGTAGCTGAGAATATTTTCATAAGCTCAGCTATCATGTTTTAAAGTAGAGTAAACTGGTGAATTTTGAGATAGATATGAACCGAAATTATGGTTTCTCCATAGTAATTCCCATATAAACTTCAAATGGTTTGTGCCAAGTAAACTTCTCACTACATGACTTCAAATTTTGGGAGGCTAATCAGGGCCCAATTTGGAACCGTTTGAGTACTGTGAAGTAAATTTTTTTGCATCAGTCTAGTGGGTCAGTTTTATATGGCGGATCAAAACCTCCTGATCCCCGCTGGTTTTTCTGTAGTACTAGTTTGGGGTTGTCTACAAACCACGTGGACAGTATTTGAATGGTTATATAACCTCCCTCTGCGTGAACCTCAATCGACACACTTTGTTAAGAACATTCCATAGCCCATGGACACTTGAACACGTTTACGTTTCTTCAGCTTCATACAACTTAGAGGTTTTTGACCACTATTAACAAAGATCCGGTCTTTCCATTCCTCTTGTTTTCAACGGTTTTTTGTGTATGATTGCTAAATTATTTGCCCAATCAATCATATCACTTTGGCAAACATGTAAGTTTTCCATGGACTAAACCTATTTGCACACTTCACTTTTGAGTATTGATTCAAAACATCACAGTTCTTCAAAAGTTCTTCTCATAACCCTCCAAACAACAGAAATAAAACCAAGCACCTTCGGTGGTGAAATCCTTCAGCAGATGAATATGTCCCAGCAAAGGCATTGACCATGGTCCATTCATTTTGGCCAGCGTTGCTATGAACTTCCTGTGCTTCCATCGGTAATACGCCAAGGAGGCGATCAGCGTAGAGACCAAAAATACTACCACAATATTCCACATTATTCGGTTGATTTACTCTTTTCAGAACGAACGAACGAACGAACGCGCGCACTTCCCGTCTCACTCAAATTGTGCACAACTCGGAACAAAACTTGCACGAAAGCTATGTAGCAATGCCACTGGTGACGACGACGACGATGACCGTTTTTCGAACATTGCAGTCGGGCGGCTCGGATGCAAATGGTTTTATACACTTGCAGTATGCATGCTTTATTTTGGCGCACTATGTGACGAGCGACGATCGCATGTTGGGGAGCAACGATTCGATTCTCTCACAACTGCTGGCACGCGTCAACGTGGGTGATCATACAGAGATGATAAGGGATCATTTGACTGGTGTAGTGCCTTGTAATTTTTAGTTTATTCGGTTAATTAGATGTGTACCAATTTAGCATTGATAGACACACGCGTAACAGTTTCCAGCGGTAATTTAAAGCACTATCCTTTGGGCACGTGTAGTTTGATGGATATATTGCTTTTCTACTTGATGATTTCATAATAAGAAGTTATCCGTTGAGAAGGCCGCTCTCGTCCAGGCTTGCTATAAATCAATGTTTTTCGGAATTAGAAATCAGTAGATCTTGTAATTATAATGTGTATGTTCCAAGAAAAGGTTGTAAAGTACGTGAATCCTGATGAATGTGGGCGTCTTAGTGGAATACCTGTATAAAGAGAGAAAGAAGGATTAGTAACATCCATTTAATTCCACTACCTTATTTGCTTATCCTTGACAAATACGCGTATTTCGTCTGAAGGGTGTATCGTTTAAAATCAATCACACTCAAATTGCTCTAACTTTGGATCCGTTTGGTAAAATTAATTGTGTGAGTTGATTTCATCGGATGCGTAAAAGTTTTCAAAATGGCGACGAAAGAACAGTTGGAAGTCGCGAATTCCACGGTGTCTGGTATTATAAAACGGTTTGAAGAACGTCTAACTGTTGATTGGAAGCGAAGATCTGAAAAAAAAAGCCGTCAGGTCAATGAGAAATACCAAAACTCGAGTTGGACTAAGTACGTTCAAGGTTTAGAAGTCCCCAAACCGTGGCGAGAAACAGAATACGGTCACAAAAAGCCGTGCCCAGAAGTTGTACGACCAGCAGTTAACGAAACCACACTGCTGCGTAATGGATGACGAGACATATGTGAAGACGGACTTCAACCAGATTCCAGGAAACCTGTTTGTGGCTGCCAAAGATAAGTGTGATGTTCCCAAGAACCTCCGAATACAGAAGATTTCGAATTTCGCCAAGAAATTCTTAATTTAGCAAGCGATTTATACTTGCGGAAAGCGGAGTACACCTTTCGTTACCGCAAAAACCATGAATGGACAGATACAAGAGTGTCTCCAAAGGCGGCTTCTCCCTCTCCTGAAGGCTCACGACGGTCCGACGATCTTCTGGCCGGATTTGGCATCATGCTACTATACGAAGGACGTGCTAGAGTGGTATAAGGCGAATGATGTCGATTTCGTGCCGAAAGATCTGAACCTCCCAAACACTCCGGAACTGCGCCCAATAGAAAAATACAGGGCCATTGTGAAGGAGCACCTTCTAAAATGACCTAAAGTGGTGAAGAATGTAGAAGAAATGAAAAAAGCATGGATTAATATGCAAAAAACTGTCGATTCTGAGGTCGTGCAGAACCTTATGGCTGGGGTTAGGCGAAGGTTAATTTGGTTTTATTTAGATCTCCATTTCTCAATTTTATGTAAGTTTTTACAATAAATAAATGCCTAAAACTATGCTTTACAATTAATTTCAGAAAGCTTCACTGAAAGGTATGGCACATGGGCCCCGTAATGTGGGTAGATCACCTTTTCGTGGTACGTTACGGGATGTAAGATCTACCACCGATTCCTAGTCCTGAGTACTTCAAACTAGAGGAATAGGATTTTTCAGTAATCCAAGGAACACATCTTAGTCCTTGTTACTTTTTATGCCTTGTTGATAGTGACAAGACTCGGCTTTGTCTACCGAGGATGATCTTTAAACAAGGAAAAAAATGAGTTAGTTGTCTTCATCTATGTGATTCCTAATCTTCTATTCGTTGTTCCCTAGTTCCTGACTAGGGGAACAGGATTTTTCAGTAATCCAAGGAACACATCTTAATCCTTGTTACTTTTTATGCCTTGTTGATAGTGACAAGACTCGGCTTTGTCTACCGAGGATGATCTTGAAAGAAGGAAAAAATGAGTTAGTTGTCTTCATCTATGTGATTCCTAATCTTCTATTCGTTGTTCCCTAGTTTGAAGTGGTTAAGACTAGGGTTCTGATGCATGGTCATTATCGGTGTCATACTTTAATTTTGTTGCTAAGGAATCCAATTTTGATTGACAAAGGGGCGCGCCTTTGGAGGGTGTTTCAACACTCCGAAGGGTTTAAATAGCGGGACCTTTCAATTAGAGTCGGATCCTTGCGATAAATGCAAGAGTGGCAACTGTAAACAAATCGAATACTTCATCATTTCTCAAAAGTGATGGAGTAATACGACATGCACTAAACTAAGGACACGGGATATACTACAATAGATCAATTTACTTGTCGCAGTAGTGTTAGGTCCCGAACAGAGGAAAAAAATGGCACATAGGATAATAGTCAAACAGAGGCAGCAGATCGCTACTGCATGCAACATTACACGCTTCTCTCAGTTGTTTACAGCACAGTTCCGAGACCAGAAACTGGACACGCTCCTAAGCTGAACCGAGACTATGACTGCGGACGACAAAGGCACACGACATTTGAATCAGAGGGCCGCTAAGTATATCGCAAAACGGACCACGAGTTTGATTCAAACAAAAAGTGCGTGAGATTGATTTCATCCGAGCTGTGATATGTGATCTAGTTGTCGTGCATATCTATATCGAACCCGTTCCAGTGTTCAGTATCTAAATCGTGGTGTAAACAATTGACACTCGGTGCGTTTCAACTTAGCCATTCTCAGCCATCCATCACCGAAGATGAAGCGAATGTCTCGAACAGACCTTGAGAAAGTCTTATCTTCCACGGGCGAAAAAGTGCAAAAGTGCACCGATGAGGACGAGACTGAACCCTGCGAGGAATTTGGAAAAACTATAGATGATTCAGTTGTGTTAAATGGGTAAAACGTTTTGCATTTGTGTATTTTAAAGATACATAATCAAATAACAGTTTAGGTTTTAGGACAGAACAGGACGTCCACAAGCTTATCACGAATAGCTATCGACCGCTGGCTGAAGCCAAAGAATGGTATTGGTCAGATCTTCCGAAGAAGCATCCAAATCAAAAGTTTGATCTTGATCGTACCACGGTTATCTATTTCCGCGATAAGTGTGTCAGTTGTTTAGTGGTAAGAAAGTAGATATAAGCAGATTCCAATTAATTAAAATACTCAAAATTGTAGTTGAATTGTTTATGATACAACAACTGATAACCGGTATAATACTACGATCCGTTTTATTTTATCGTGCAATTGTTTGTAAATGATAAGGCATGTCATTTTGCATGTAAATATTATATTTTTATCTATTCATTTTTGTTATTATTTTTCCGAAGAATTGTTCCTAAAAGCCGTCGTTTTTGAATGGCAAATATACCTAACCACCCTTTCCCCATATGATAGTTTTTTTTTTTAATTTAGTATACATTGAATCCTAAAAACTATCTATGGCATGGTAGGTTTATCATTTTTTTGATGATTCTGGATGCCATTCAGTTAAAATCGTTAATCTTCTAAAATTATACTTCTATTATGGTTTTCGTTTATACGGGTTAATTTTCGAACCCCCAGTTTGGTTCGTAAATGTCGTTTCAGTGTAGAGACAATACTTGGTCGCTTCACCAAGGATGATCTTGAAACAGGGAAAAATGGGCTGGTCTTCATGTATGTGATCCTCACATTCAGATTCCCATGAAATGCTTATCAGATTGTTCTTGGAATTCGCATTAAAAGTCATTTGAGGTTATTATTATACATTTGGAATTCCGATCAGAATTCGTTAGCAATTCTTTTCAACTTTTAGTTTTTTAAATTGTGGTCAAAACTCCCTTGGAATTATCATTAAAATCCCACTTGGATTCTCCCGAAACTCTCGTCTCAGTTCCTGTGGGGTCATCGTCAGATTTTTAAAGATTTACACAATCCCAGAATTGAAAATAAAATCTTTAATCTGGGCCTTGGAAATGGTAAAGTCTCTTTGATTTGGAATAATTTGTCGGAATAATTCTCAAGAGAATTAAATTGAGAATCGCACAAAATTTTAAATCGAATTCTTGGTATAATTGCAATGGCTTTTATATATACCACAGAGAACAGACGTCCAAGCTCGTTCAGAAACTTGTGTAAAGTTAAGTAGAAACGTCGCCGTTACGTAGCGCAAGCATCTCCTGATTTCCGCTATAAATTTTGCACTTTCGGTGAATTTGGCGCTAGTATCGATAAATTATCTGTTTAAAATTGCCACTTGGCGCTACCAACCCCAAGTAACAATTTTGGTTTTATAAGGGTTCTGGAGACCATGATTTAAAACCTCGATAAAACTTTAAATGTTACTTGGGGCACTTAGTGTCTAGTGTAAGTTTTGCAACGCCAATGCCATCATGTTGTCAAAGAGGTTTTTTAAGTGGGGAAGTCGCCGTTAGTGGCGCTTAAGTCGAATAGGAATCTTTACACAAGTTTTTAGAGAAATTTTGTTCGAGCCTCAATGTCTGTTCTCTGTGATATACTGAGGAGTCAATCGATTTCATTTTGCAAGGTAATGGAAAACTGCTTAAATTTTTTCTCGAGTTTAAAAGTGTTTTGCTCTTTTTCAGTTCATTCCCGCCAAAAGCTCTGAACCAGGAGTGCTCGAGCTCCCATGACTCTATCAATGTTTATTTACATACATGTTTCGCCAAAGTAGATTTTACAGCAATTGAACACTCAGCTGAGTAATACAAACTATGCTGGTTTTTATAATTTCATCACTGAGCCTGCTGGTTTTTGTCTTTGAGATTGAAATTAACAGTGTGTTAGGAAAAGTATGGATCATTATTATGAGATAACAGTACTTGACGATGTATAAAGTCTGGAACTCGCAAAAATTGGTCAACTTCAAATTGGTGTATTTCTGTTAAACATGCTAAAAAAATCCTGAAATGCTGCATTTGGAAGTTGAGTGCATATACAATGGTTGCTATGATGAGTTTTCACCGTATGCTCTCCAGTTTTAAAAATGACGTCCAAGCAAGAGGAGCAGTGCGTCAAAATTTTGCTCGCGCAGCAAGAGAAACCGACGTACTCACACGCCATGTTGGTAAAATTGCTGGATGTGGCGTCTGTCGACCGCCAGGAAGCCTGGAAGCGGTGAAAATCGTAATCCGGACGTGGCAGCGACGACGAAGAAGGTGGCGGTGAAATATAAGCGGAATCCTAACCTCTCCATCCGGGACGTTGCTGGCAAGCTCAATGTCTCCCATATTACTGTGCAGCGGGCCAAGAAACGAGCCGGATTGTCGACGTTTAAGAAAGTGAAGGTGGCGAACCTTGTAATCTTGGTTCGCCACCAACACGTCGGCAAAGCAGCGGTCCCGAAAGCTGTATACGAATCTGCTCACAAAGTTCGACTGTGTCGTCATTGACGACGAAACTTATGTGAAGGCGGATTTCAAGCAGCTTCCGGGACAGGAGTTTTATACCGCATCAGCAAAAGGGAAGGTGGTTGAAATTTTCAAAACCATCAAACTATCGAAGTTCCCGAAAAAATATTTCGCCTGGCAGGCCATATGCACGTGTGGTCTAAAAAGCGGCATTTTCATTACTACGGGAACCATCAATCAAGAGATCTACGTCCAGGAGTGCCTGGAAAAGCGGCTGCTACCATTCCTAAAGCAACATAATAGACCTGTGCTGTTCTGGCCGGACTTGGCGAGCTACCACTATGGGAAAAGGCAATCGAGCGGTACGATGCGAACAACGTGGTTGTGATACCCAAAGACCACAACCCTCCCAACAGCCCAGAACTCCACCCTATCGAACGGTATTGGGCCTTGGTCAAACGTAATCTAAAAAAACTAATAAATCCATGGAAAATAATAAATAAAAATAATAAAACCACTGTGAAAAATTTAAAAGATGGGTTAAGCGGAAGGCACGTCAGTTCGGATTTGGCAAACCAAAAGAATAAACGAACATTTTTCGTTTAAATATATGAATTGAACTACCAAAAGAAAAATAAGAAGATTTTTGTGATATGAATTTTGACTGAAAGAAGCGATTTTTTTGTCGACCAATTTTTGCGCATTCCAGACTTTAAGAACAGTAACTGCATTTGTTGCTTCTGAATGTTTGGCTCCCGTTTGACAGTTTGCACTGCCTCCCAAGTGACAAGCACATTCAGTGAGTCCGCAGTACCCAGATATATAGTAGCTTTAACAGTGACATTGACTTGTCCGGGGATGAGATTTGAACTCGTGACTTTGGAGTGAGAGGCATGCATGCTAACCACTACGCCGGGGCCATCTCCATTTTCGAGTTAATTTCTCGGGATTGGTCAAGTTCTTATCAAATTCCTAGAATAAGTGCAAGGGCCTATGACTAGAATTCCAACGTAATTCTGTTAAGAGTTAATAGATATTTGTGTCTAATAATCCTGAGGGAATGCCAAAAAAAAAAAATCACGTCGACTGTTTATGAGAAGTTTTAGGCTTTCCTTCCTTATGGACGTATATTGTCTACCTGCTTCAACCAAGCAGCATTTCAGATTTTATTATGATCTACAAGTCCATTATAAGCAATATAAACCTCCATGATAAAACCAAAATTGGTACCTGAGTTATGAACACAACACCACCAAGGGAATCATGCTTGGATTCAGTAAACAAATCAAAAGTACGAGATAATTGCACTTCAACAGATACGAACGATCAAATGACATTCGGCCAAACCCATTATAAATACTCTTTTTCGACATTCCAACCAATCCCAAAGATAGATAGCTCATAAATTGCAAGCAATCCTGTATAAATCGTATTGAATTAATCATTCGAATGAAATCACCCGTTCATAAACGCAATCTTTATTCTTCCCTTCTCACGATCTGCACCATGTGTTTGTTGGCAATTTTCAATGTGATGCTCATTTTCAACTGCAGCTGGTCCATTTTCAGTGGCGATCGGAACCGATAGGCACGCAACAAGTGACACAGCATAATCTTCATCGACATCAGCCCGTACTTGTAGCCGATGCAGTTTCGTGGCCCACCACTAAACGGAAGAAACGAATACGGATGTCGCTCCGCCACCCGCTCCGGGAAGAAATTATCCGGATTAAAGCTGTCCACATCGGGTCCCCAGTACTTGGCGTTACGGTGTGTGTTGAAAACTCCCAGGACAACGGTAGTACCCTCCGGGATGGTGGTTTTCGCTGGAAGTGAATGAATTACTTATTGATCTGTAAAATAAGTTAAACCTTAAGTTCAAATACAGATCCTAGTCGGTGCCGTACAAGTCCGGGCTACTACTGGTCCAACGGGGAACAATCTCATTGTCTCCTTCATCACCATTTCCGTGTAGTTTAGCTGAGAAAGATGATCATTATGAACCGGAATCGATGGATCTCGACCTCCGAGCACGTTCACAATTTCGTTGTACACTTTCTGTTGAATCTCCTCGTGGATTGCCAACATCAGCATCACGTGAGACAGAGTCAACGCCGAAGTTTCGTTTCCACCGACAATGATGGTATCCAATTCGTCCCGAATGGCTCTGTCGTCGAATACGTCTGTTTCTTCCGCCAGCCGCAGGATCTGATCGATGTAGATCTGTGGTTTCTTGAGGTCCAGATCATCGCTAGTTGTGGCTTTTTTCGATTTACCACGCGTTCCTTGTTTCAGTTCGAGAATTTTATGCGACATCTTGTATGCTTTTTCGTAGCACTCTTTCTCCTCTCTATAGAATTTCGTCTTCTGATAAATCCATTCTGGATGTAGCCAAATTTTGTGGATGCGGCTGTTGATCAACTCGCAAGCACTGAAAGGTTGAAAACAGACGTTAATTACCGTATGAGATGGAAGCACCTAGCGCCGTACTCTTCAATAGCTTTTATGAACTCGGTCCCTTCATTGCTCTGCAGGTCCATATTCGTTCCCAATGTTGTTGCTATCAATAAAACTTATATAACATCCCATGAACTAAAAACTATTTCAAAACCATTACCACATATCATGTCCAACGTGCACCTTGAAATATCCCCGTACAAATTGAATACCTCCTGGTCCACATTCTTCCGCAAGCGCTGCACTAAAATTTCACTCTTCACATTGAAAATCGACACAAAGCTGGCCAAAATGGCTGGGCTGAAACACGGTGCAAGCAGCTTCCGATGAACCTTCCATAGGCCAGCCGGAGACGAAAATAGTCCCTTCTCGCAACGGAAAAACCTGTACACGTCAGCCTTTTCCAAACAATTCGGTGAATTCAGTATCACTTGCATGTCCTCCGGATTGTCGATGAACACAAACAGCTTCGGGCCGAGCCAAGCTCGACAAGGCGACGGGTACGTTTTGGTGATATCATTGATGATGGCGAACTGTTCTTCGTTGGATTTTCCGATAAAAAGATGGCCACATCCAATTAGCGGGTAGTCGACGGGTCCCGGTAGTTCGGAGGATATTCGGTAGAAGCGACGGTTTTTCCAACGGAACGCGAGATACACGACGATCGGAAGCAGCGATAGCGTGACACTCCAAGGTAGGAACATTTTCACCGTCGGGTTCGGTGTCAAAAGTAGTACAAACGATAGTGCGAGGGTTTTATATAAAGGTCAGTCGCAATTTTATAACCCATTGCAATCCAGAAGCTATCGTTCGGAATGCTTTGAATCTAACTGCTGTTAACTGTCTGATCGAAAAGGGAGAGAAAAAACAGTCGACCACCTATTTAAAATGGGAACTGGTTCCAGACGAAAAGTGCCATTTCACCTGATATGATAGTGGCTTGATCACGCACGCACGTGATTTTAATGATACGCCAATGAGTCATAACGCGTCTAGGGTGTCCGAAATGATTGGCTTATTTTGCCTACCGGGTAACGGAAAGCTGTGATTTATTGATAGGCTTGCCATATGCCGTTAATCAACAAGTATCGCTCATCCAGGTTGCTATCAATTTTGGTAAAATATGAACAATCTCGGTTGTAGAAGGAAATTTCACGAGAATTAAAAGGGTAATGGATGTATTTTGGCCCACTGTCTTATTTTGGCTCATCTGGCTGGAACATTTCATCATATAAAATTAATAAAATTTTAGAATATTGTGAAATTACATAAAAATTATAACAATAGTTAGCCAAAATCAATAGGAGGTGACATAATTGAACCCAACTCTTGAGTTATTATTTTCAAAATGTATGCATTTTGAGCATTATGGCATTGGCATTATGTTATTAACTCCGATTGAAACCGTTTTCTAGTTTGTATAAGCGATAAAATGTGTTAAAATAGTGATTTGAGGGATGGCGAAAATATGTTCGTTATTATCTATAAAACAACCAGCACATTCAGGTGTTCCAAACCTTGTCCAAAATATGTTTCCTCAAGCGGCTTGAAGTAGAAAAGGTGGGCCAAAATATGTTTTGTTGATGGTCCAAAATAAAATTTTGTGGTACATAATAAAATAAAAAGCGTTTTCCGTATTTGTGATATTTCGTGCTTATTTGTATGTCCAATTGTATTGTTAAACAATTTGTTTGGAGATAAACATTCAGATTTTTATAATGACCTGATGAATTAACCATTTATTGTAACAAACTCGTACTTTTTATTTGAGAACATGTATAAATTGTATGTATTGATGTGTGAAAATAATCAGAGAAAGAGAGACCAGGCCAGGGCTGGCAAATGTCATTTTTAATGAAAGATCGCACGCGATATTTTCAGAGATACTTCTGTCACTATCAATGGAAGAGAAAACGATGATAGATATTTCATCGAATTTTTTTGTCATGATAAAAGGTGACAGTATCAGCGGTGCCGGTGGTGCAGTGGTAAGCGTGATTACCTCTCACCTCAAAGAAGCTTTGAGAACTTCCAGGTGGTTCCATCAGCTTCATGTAAACTGCAAGAAAGTTTAGGAAGTTCTAAGATCGTCAGGGAAGTCAATAAGACCATAGAACTTGTGGATAATTTATAGAAATTTCAAGAACCTCAGACAAGCTATTTAGTTCTTGAGATCGTCAGACAAGCTCAGAGATCTTAAGGGCAGTCCCAATAACTTCAGAAAAGTCCACACTTTTGGGGAAAATTAATGATCTGTAAAGAACAATTTATATAATTTCATTATAGAGCCATTTTTTTTTCAATGATTTGTTTTCCGTCGATCTTGTTTTCCGTACTGAGTACCAATGCTACCAATGCCAGGGGAGCAGCTCCCACACCTGGACCCTGATCAGAGATTTTCGTGCCTCAGAAAATCCCGACGATACCGACTTGGAGAGTATTTTCGAGAATCTTAAGTTCATATAACTCCTTGAGAAATTTAGAAAACATCATACATATTTTGGGAACGTAACAGAAGTCTAGAAATGTTCAGGGAAAATCTTCTACTGTAGAACTTTATGAGAACTGCACGAGCTTCCGGGTAGCTTCAAGAACATCAGATAAGATTATAAAACCTCAGGGCAGTTCATTTAACGTAACTGAAAAATCAGATAATTCCGAAATCCCAACAATATCAGAAAAAAAATGTTGGAACGTTAAAGACCTTCTGAGAGCTTCTTGATAATTTACGGAACATTATCATGGAGGAACGAAAACTTCAGGTAAGATAAGTTCAGAGAAGTTTAGATATTTTAAGGGATGTTCCATCACCTTAAGATTCGAAAACTTTAGATAGATCAATGAACTTCAGGAAAATTGCGGGAACTTTTAAAATGTTCGGAGAAATTCAGGGACGTCTTGAGATTTTTTTTGGAGTTTAGTGATCCGCACGGCAGTGCCAATAACTTCAGAGATGCACAGACTTTTAAAGATCTTTGTTTGGGTTTCGATCCAGTGGTTGGGATCTTTGTTAAAGCTAGTTTTAGTAGATCGTACAAGTTTTTGTGCTGAACGGAAGATGATACAAATTTATATCCCAAGAAGAAGGTCAAGTCCAAAGACTGATAAGTGATCCATCTTGAAACTGAAAATCCAATACCCAAAAAATAGTATTTTAAAGATTTGCTAATTGTACTGATTACAGACAAATTTTAATAGTACTCTAGTTGTGTATGTACTTCACTTTATCGATTATGGACGCTCCTTAAAGAGGGCGTATGGATTTGCGGTGAATAGAGCGGACATTTGCAAAATCAGAGTAACCAGCGGACAGCTGTAAATTCCAATATTTATCAAGGCTCAAATGCAGAAGCTTTACGGAGCCAAAATTTATTTTACTTTTTACAGTGTTTCTTAATACTACACACTTAGAGAAGTTCATGTTAATTTAGGTGCTCTAAAAGTGACATTTACGAGCGCCAATTTCGACATTAATTTAAGTCATAACAGACGCGAAATATAGCTCAATCAAACGTACTTTTCGTCGAGCAACGAACTTTCACTCTAAGAGCACTTAATATTACATGAAATGTTTGTTTACGTCTCATCTTTTATGTTTGAGATGGATTCCGTCACGTGTAAAATTAGTTGTTTGTAAGTGTCACAAGAGGAGTCCGAATACTCGTGGACTACTCAAGGTTACGCGCTACAATACATTAACAGATGGGTAAGGGATCAAGGAAAAGGTGAACAAGGATGTGATTGATATATTTATCTCCACCGCCGTTGAATAGCTGTTTGACGATGGATCATGACGGGTGACGGGTAAGTGCTCTTGATCTCTCTCGAGATGACTGATAGTTGTTTACAAACAAGAGGGGCTTGGGGAGGGACAATCATGAAAGAACAGATACTAAAATTAATACTCAAACAGACAAAACTCTACCACACTCTCAAACGTTAGCATTTTAAACGTCATAGTTGATGATGATTCAAAATAGTTTTCAACATTGGAATCATCAAAACAACAATGTTCCTCATGGAGTCATTTCGAGAATACCATCCACAAAGCGGCGCCGGTGGTGTAGTGGTAAGCGTGATTACCTCTCACCCCAACAGGCCTGGGTTCAATCCCAGTCGGCGCCGACAGGATGTTCTGAGGCATAACATCTTTGATCACGCCTTCCTTCGGAAGGGAAGTAAAGCCGTTGGTCCCCGGTTCATGAGTTGATGAGTTGATTGTTAGGGTCCAGGTGTGTGGAAACTGCCTCCCTGGCGTCGCTAGCATTGGTGCTCAGCACGGAAAACAAGATCGACGGAAAACAAATCATTGAAGGAAGGCGTGATCAAAGATGTTATGCCTCTGAACATTGTGGCAGGTGCCATATAATAAAAATCAAAATGTAAAAAGTTGTACATGAATTGAAATTTTTCAAACACCATAGAATCATCCCTTGTTTAGTTTTGACGCATGAAGCGTTCGCAAATAGTTCACTCACTGAAATGTTCATTAGATGGTAAATGAGTTCTCTGTACCATTTCGGGCGCCAAAGCGTGATTCGATAGCCAAACGAAGAGTCTAAGCAAACCACGCGTAAACGCATAGACATCGACCTGCACAATTCTGCTTTCAGGATTTGTTGACCCGTCCCATCCTTTCATGCACTTCGGGTGGGAAGCGAATTGGCATACGCGTTAACTTGATAGAAGGAGAATGCTCGATGAACATTTCAAATGGTCCTATCTGCTTTGATCGATTCTCTTCATCGACTTTCTCTTTTCATAACCACTGCTATGCAAACAGATTTTGCGCTAATTCTACCACATAGTTTGATAAAGGAGGTTCTTATCTAGCATCCAAAACGTCAAATACAACAGGGAAAGGTTTTGCAGCTGAGTTATTAACGAAAGAGAAAGTCGATGAAGAGAATCGATCAAAGCAGATAGGACCATTTGAAATGTTCATCGAGAATGCTTTCCTTCGTATTTTTTTTTTAAACTAGTATGCGTGAAGGTGATTTTCGGCGACGAAGATTGCAATTCTTGCGCCTAATCTGAGGACCGTCAGACCTGATTCTTTCACTTTGTTCTGGTCTGTGGAAGAGGCGAAAGCGGTCCGAGTTTCAGTTAACGCGCCGTGGTGTGAATTTAAAGGTGAATTAGTAAACGTGAAATTGTCTTTAAGTTTGTTAATTTAGATTTTCTTTATAAATTCCCTCGATTAGCTCGTTAGTTTTCGAAATTAAAGCAGAAAGTGCTTAGTGCGTTAGTTCGGCGGTTATGAGCGTGCGAAGGTGTTTTGAAATCGAGGTTATTTCGTGTGCATAAGTGTGTTCAGTGTGCAGATGTTGAATGCCACGCGACGGAATTTCTCTTTGGCAGATTTGTGGCAAGTTGCGAAGCTCGTCACACCACCCACAACAGTCAGCGACCGTTTTCGACCCCATTTTCCAGCTTCGAAGGACACCCGGTGGTACCCGAGGCCGGTTTTCCGCGCCCTATGCACAGCGAGCAGTTACTCACTGGTTTCGAACCGGTGACCTCCCTCTCCAGCGGCAACCACTTTCCGCAGTTTCCCGTCGACGGTGACGACCATCGACGCGACGGCCGTACCCCGTCTAGGTAGAAGACCACAACTCAGCGTGTGAGGCGTCGTTGGAAAACGACATCGGCTATTTGCAGTCCACAGTAGCATCGTTTCGGAGTCTGTAGGAGTAACCGCGTGTGGTACACGTGGGTCCAACCGCCATCTTCGAGCAACCCCCAAGTTCTCCACGCAAGTAGCGAGTCAAAACGTGAGTAACACTCATGTTCACGAAATTCCCATGCGCATGGTGAGTTAAAGCCCCTAGCATAGCATAACCGCTAGCGTGGCTGCTGTTCGTTCAGCCGTTACCCATTCCGATCCGCGCAAGCGTCGGTAACGCCAAACAGCTTTTTGTAGCACACAGAAAATGAACACCATTCATCACTAAATAAATACCTACCGCCAGAAGAAGAGAGAAGAAAAGGATAGCTAGCTAGAGGGAATGAATTCGAGATAGGCCTAGAATAATAAATTGTCAATAAAGTAGGAGTACGGAAATAAACCATGATGAACAAGAGGTAGTTTGAATCTGAATAAGATGCGTTTTCAATAAACCAACACACTACAGATAAAAGGTTTTTGTACATTATTTTCCAAAGTGATCTAGAAAAGCGAATGTAAGGCTTTTTCACGTTTCCGGTCGTTTTCTTTTGAAGTTTTTGCAGAGTTTTACTGGGGAAGTTGGCCCCGAAACCAACCTGGATATCGCTCTATTCGAACGGGATCCGTACGAAGTGTTGTGTCAAGCCTGTCCGAGATGATAAAATCCGCGAGAGCAACTCATCGTTGGCAGAAATCGTTTTCGTGAATGCTTCATTCTTTTTATTGATTTATTCACGACAATAGGTCGTGGGCATTCCCGTCCTTACCGTAATCGATCGACAGCCAACTTGCTTCCCGCCCATTCATTTGGGAAAAACAGAACCTTCCCTGAAAGGTCTCATATGGTCGTCGGGCAACCCTAGTCTCGGTAGATGGTCTCCCTCGGGAGTGGCGCTCAAGCCATTTTTACTAAAAACGGGAAACTCGTAAGGCTGGCGGGTTCCAATATCCCGGTGACGCCGACTGGGATTCAACCCTGGCCTGGTATAGTGAGAGGTAATCACGCTTACCACTACACCACCGGCGCCGTTTATGTGGTGGATTTGAAAACACACGAATTTATAATGCGTGTTGCAAAATTCATCGCACATGTAATTTGATTAATACCCCGTGGCTTATATCATGTAATATAGGCTGTCTTGCAATGAGTACTCATACATAGGATTTCCAGTGAAAACTAGCCTATATTACATGATATTAGCCATAGTCTGTACGGGGTATAACCAAATAAATTTTAAAATTTTCCCTTGATTTCAAAAGTCTGTAGATATCTGTGAATAAACTAAAAAGACTGAAAAAAATGTGTGTGAGTAAAAATAAAAGTCTGTAAATTCACAGACATGTCTGCAAATCTGGCATCTCTGCTCCAGACTACTAATATCAAGAAAGGTAAATGGAACATGTACCGGCGCCGGTGGTGTAGTGGTAAGCGTGATTACCTCTTAACCCAGCAGGCCTGGGTTCAATCCCAGTCGGCGCCGCCGGGATGTTCTGAGGCATAACATCTCTGATCACGCCTTCCTTCGGAAGGTAAGTAAAGCCGTTGGTCCCCGGTTCATTAGTTGATGGGTCGATAGGTAGGGTCCAGGTGTGGGAACTGTCTTCCTGGCGTCGGTAGCATTGGTGCTCAGTACGGAAAACAAAATCGACGGAAAACAAATCCAGGATAAAAAAAAAAAAAAAAAATGGAACATGTGATATGTAATTGATTTTGTTTTTGAAAATAGTATTTTGCCACTATTGTTGAGTGCTTTCTGCAAACGAATTGTGGTTGAAGAGTTTTTGCAGTTCTTGAATCTTCCCTTATCACGATGCGACAAGGATTGGAATTGCTCCGCTTCAACGTTTAGATGGTTTCACAAAAATAATTTCACGCAGAAGAAGCGTTGGGGTTTCCGATCGTACCTGGAGGCGTTCCTTCATCAAACCCAAAGCAAGAAGTTTTAAGAAAATCTTGCGTGGCATACACAGAATTTCGATAATTTGAATGAACCGTACTCTTTGGCCAGACTCCTTTCCCTTTTAAAAGCCTTCGTAGCAGAATGTACTGAGTGCGTTCGTCAATTGAATATAATGCTTTAGATAAACTTAAGGAATCCTTTCCCCTTTAATATGTGTAGTATTCGATACATGAGTATTTCAGCTTAAGGTGAAACACAGTGAACATATTTTCATTGAAAGAAACAAGCTTTCAAATGCTCATTACAGCCAAAATGCTATTTTCAGCTGAAATGAGTGCTCATCGTTATAGGTAATCTTTAATTGTGACACTCTTGACGCAAAATTGACAGGTTTCATGTGTCTTACAAAAAGTTTACCTCCTCTTCCTGCATTTTACAAATTATAAATATCGTTATAATATCTCATAGTTTCATAATTCTCAATAATAACATTTTAGCTGTAATGAGCAATTACATGCTTGGACAAAATTTCGGATTTTGTCGAAAAAACCATTTCAAATAAAATCAATTCTGAGGCCCAAGATCAAGGCTCAGTAATTGCTGGATCGATTTGTCACCGGTGAAACCTATTTTGCATGAAAATTTAATGAAATTCAGATTGGTTAAAAATGCACCTCATTTTGGCGCCAGCAATGAATCCATTGCCAATGTATTGGCGCTTAGAGCAATCAGCTGCATGCCGATAGATTGAAATGCATAAAAAACAACTTTCAAGAGTGAATTCAAGTTCAATATCTACCCACCTCGCAGAGCGGTTGACTTTGCTCAAATGCTACGGGGAGATCCCCTCGTTTGGTATTTCCGATGTTATTGCGCGTTTAATTGCCCACGACATCATGGGGACATTTTGTTTCTTGTTCTAGTAGCAGAACGAGCAGAACAAACCAGTTATTTAGTATTTTTTTTCTTCTATAAATGATTTTTGTCTATTACTAGTTGAAAAAGCAAATTAGTGATTGAACAGCAGCTGGTTAAGTGTATCAGTGATGGGCGATGGTTTACATGTGTTTTTATTACACTCATCATCAAGGGATTAGCAAGCAATCAAGGTTATACATTAGGATGCGATTATGTAAATCGTTCGTTAAAGAACTGAGCATTTTGCAATAAACAATGTGGCTGTCCGGTTTCCTGCGGAGCATGCAAATGGCTATCTCTGTGGTGCACATCAGGACTTGCAAAGATAAAAGCAATTAAATCATCAATGTCGGCATTTATTTCTCTTAATTAGTGGTTATATCCGAGACTTGACACAGTCGTAGATCACTCGTGTACTTTACTACACCAAGGAAGCAATTCATCTATTTGTTTTTCTGCACCACGTGAATGTAGAAGGCTGGGTTGGTAACCTTGTCAATGGGCTTGAAGTCACCATAGATTTCGGAGGAAACTGGATCCTTGAAAATGTTCTTCAGAATATTCTCGAATACGGACAGCTTGTGGGGATAGTAGGACAAACGGAATTCGCTCGTGTCTCCCCGTCCCGTGCTGATGACGTAATCCATAGTGACCAGTGTGGGTTTAGAGGCGACGTACAACACCGATGTTTTGATGTCAGCCGTGTGTCTACTCTGTGGATTGGATGGAAATTATGGGATAATTCAATTAAAGGGTAAATTTGCGATCATCACCGGAGGCACTCACATTATAATAGATGCTCTTGGCAGGTGCCGCTCCAGTATCCATGATGTTGTCGTAATTTCTGTGATCAATCAACAACAGACCACCGGGTTTGACGCACTTTTCAAAGTTGCTGATAGCTTGAATCTGCTCCCGCTGATCACCGTAATTATCCAGCAGATGGGCGAACGAATTTCCAAGACACATGACCGCATCGAAGCCATCGCCAATCAGATGCTCGATGTCATCGTACAGTGTCAACCAATTGGCCTCCTCAATAACTGTAAGTAGATGGGATGTGCGAATAGATAAACACGTGTTATTTAACGATGTGTTGAATGCACATTGATTATAATGATGAGGAAAATGATTGGTTCTAGGGAAATGGTCAATTGAGGAAATGTCTGGGCTGAAGTTAATGCATGCGAAAAGTGACGTTTAACAACTAGAAAATTGATTACAAACGGCATACTGACTCATGTTGTACACGGTTCATGCCAAATCGTTAGACAGGTTGATTAAAGTGCTCGCATGCAAGATGTGCAATTAAGCTATAAACAGCTTGATCAGCGGGTAAGCTCTTCTATGCACTACACACGTCTAGCAAACAACCTGCTGTAGAATAACATATAATTTCAAAGCTCACATGTGCATGATCATGCTTGCGCATAGGAAACAATCAAACAAATCAACTTACTCCACTTATCGAAGGTGACTTCCTTTCTCCTGTTCCAGCGTTCCTTCAGTGCATACTTGAGCATCTTGTCGGAGGCATCGATTGACACAACCTCGAAGCCTTCCTCCAGCAGCATGATGGAGTCCACCCCGGTGCCGCAGGCCACATCCAGAATCCGCTTGCACCCGTTGTCCCGTAGTTTTTCGACCAAAAAGTTGCGGTAGTTCTCCGTGCGGGACTTTTTGTCACCGATGAAGATTTCCCAGACCTTGGCCGCCTTCCCGTCGGCATACTGGTCCCGGACTCCTTCAGCCGAGATTCCGTCCGAGCGCGATTGGAATACGGTGTCTGCTTGCTGCATCTTTGGTAGCGGTGAGGTAAGAGATTGAGAGAAGCGGAAAGTGGCATATGAGTACGAGTGAGGAAAGAACGATGAAGGGTCAAATGTGAGTTGGTAACAAATCGTGCGTGCGGTTATCTCGCAATTAACACGACTTCATTGACTACATCGAACGGTCGTTGCTCTTACGAAGCACGTACGATGCCGTACGCAAGTCGTTTAAACCCGCGCCGTAAGCGGCGGTCAAGTTTAAGGGCATTTGAGATTAAATAGGAAATGTTGAAGACCTCCAGTGAGCTCTTGAAATCATTACGCATTGCTAGAGGAAATGGCTTACGTGCAATGGTTGTGTAATTGCGACAAGTTGTTTTCAAATGAAAACGAGAAAATTTACGCCATTATTGATTGGACACTTTGGGAAAGTCCATATTACCTATTCATTTTAGCTTGCACTAAACAAATTGTGCACTATGTTTAAGGACATGGTTCGCGTTCTCATTTACGTAATTATTTCAACATTGATGGTAGTTAGAGATGGAAGGGAGGCCATAGTAGGATGGTCTAACAGTGGGTCCAATCGTTAGAATTTTAGAATTCCAATGAATTTTTACGAATAATATTTAAGTGATTTCAAGGGTAATTCCACGAAAAGATCAAAGAAATCTGTAGAGTAGTTTCTAGTGAGAACTCCTGGAGTGGTCTGCAGAGGATTTCATGAGTGTTACTGAGAGAATTTGTAGGAAATATTCACGTGATGGGTAAGACTTATATCCAAGCACGATAACGAACCTCGTGCACAGTAATATTTGAAGAACATTGATCATGTAGTGTTTGTTGGGAAATTATGCCACCAGCAGCTGAATTCCAGGCATAACTTTCATCGAAGAGAAATAAATTTCTACACATTAGATGTTTCGCTTAGCTGAAATTTATATTCAAAGTGTTTTTATGTTACTTCATACGCGAAGTTAGCGATTTTCAGAGTTGGTTGGAAATGCTAACATGAAGCTTTAGTGTGATAATTTATTAGCTAGAGAATGATCTTTAGAAGAGAGTAGGTGGATAGTTCCGTTAGAGTACGGCAGTATGAAAATTGAATAGAAGTTGAAAATGAGCGAAGGGCCATTAATGCGACAGTTTTTAAAGGTAGACGCACATCTTTTGCCTAACCCGTACGATGTACGCGGAGACTTGAAGTATGTCTCCAAGTCTACAGGCAAAAAATGTGCGTCCTTCTTTTGCTCATAAACTGACTGCGGCTGTGGAATAGTTCTAGCGACGTTTTCATCACTACCAAAAGCCCCACGTTGCGAGAGCATTTCCAGTTTTGCCTGTAGACTTGGTGGTTGAACCTGAACCAAAAACAAATGGGATGTAAATATGTTCCATTCAAAAATAAACGTGGAAAATTTATCTAACAATTCGCACTTCCCACTCGGAAAAACTCGTTATCCCAACGGAAAGATTCAGTTGTACTCATTAGAGTGGAAATCTGATTTCGTGTGGTTAATTTCCTAGAATAAACCAATTCTCTGCCCTCATTACAAACTTCGACGTGGTCACCAGCGCTTTTGAGCTGTGATAATCATTATTTTAAATGCGATGTGCACCTTGCTCTGACGCGTGGTCCAACAACTTTCCCACCCATTATCAATGTCGTTGATTTGCGCATCTATTCTCTTTCTCTCTAGCCGTACCTGGAGGCTGTTTTTCGCGCTGTTAGCGGCAGACGTTATCATCTGTGTTATGCCTCCTACCCCGCCTTCCTATGGTTGATAGTCTAGAGCGGTGAAAGCTGCTTGATCGTTATTGTTCGCATGTCTCGCCGTTCTAATGTGATCCCATAAAACCTCCGGAGGTAGATCTGTCCGGTTCGGTGTATAATTTTAGCATACAATAGAGCATTCCGATGGAGACTTCCTGATCTGATTCTGGCAGCCGGCCAAGGCGAATGGGAAAATTTGACTGTTTCCATTCTATCGGTGCTAATGGAAAGTGACAACATAGAACTAAATTTTACAGTTACAGTTTTCAATGAGGGTGATTACATGCGTGGGAATCCGTCCAATTTCAATGTAAGTAACGGGATGTACGGTAACGTGTGTTGAATCATAGAAGTGTAATTTCCTTCCGTGGGAAGCTATGGTGAACTAGTTTAGATTATTACAAAATTACGCTATTATTTCTCATTTATTAGCTTCGTGGCTGATGAATTTGCTAAATGGAAATTTATTCTATGAGATCGATTAATGTAATGGGTCCCATCCGTATCAACATAATCGAGGTTGATTTGCTTGTTTGTTTCGGAATGCTTGATCGTACATGAATGTAAATGTACTTTTAAACAATTGAATGATTGATAGCTATTCTTTATAGATAGAAGCTTGCAAGCTGTTATTTAAATTCTGAACATGTCAATTGAAATATTTTTTTCTAATCAACATTGTATTCAATGGGAAGCAATCGTTTCCATGAGATGCTTGCGTTGAGTTTTATTATGGCAAACAAATGCTAGGTAGGTGTGTTGAGGTGTCATTGAAATTAATTTTTCTAATGGTTTTGTATTGAAATACTTGACCTACCGCCTGCTTGGTAATACCGTGCATTTACTGACTAGGCTATCTGAAGTAATCATGTGACCTACACGCTTAAATCAAATTATAAGGAAGATAATTAACTCTGATACATTGATGATTTTTCATCACAGTTTGATTTCAATAGAGATTTGTGACAATTAACGCACGCACGCTTAAAGTATGCCGATATGCCGTATGTACACACTAAGATTTTTTTACAGGAGTCAGTAATTTTTTACTGGGTTTTTGAATTGCTGAAAAAGTCGGTAAAAATTCAAATGACCGTTATCCGTAAGGAATCAATGAAAACGACCAACTTTATTTTCTATCATTAAATGGGGTTAACAGAACTAAGTATGTACAAGTTCAGAGCAAATTTTCTCATTAATAAATTTTCCACAGATTTTTAAACTTTTACCGAACAGTTCCGCAATTCAAAAACTCAGTAAAACCGTACTGACTCGATTAGTGTGTAGTGGTTTATTATTTTCTTTTGGTATTAAATGTATGGAATCTGATTTGTCAAAATGAGTTCAGCAGGGTTTTTCATGATGTCAGATGTCAGAAAAATTTAATTAAAATTTTTGATTTGGTTTGGTTGATTAACTTTCTTGAATTGCGGAATCTTCTTGACCATCGGCAACACGAGACATACTATTGGACAGGTTCTGCACGATGCCTTTTCCGCAAGTGTCGGTATAGAAATTAAAGACTCTCAAGTGCGGTTTCACGAACTCCATCAGCGTGATCAACACCCTTGGACTGGATGTTTCCAAACATCCATGGATCCACGGCAGTCAAAAATTCTCACCCAAAAACACTTTTTTTTCATCTGGATCGATGGACACTAAATTGTCCACGGTAACATAAAGGCCGACAACTTAGAAGGATCTAGCCAAGGATTCGAAGCACAAAGTTTTGTCCTGAAGTGTTCCGTAGTTGAGTTTTCAATTTTAAAGCAAGTAATTCAGAATTAAGCTGTTCACTATACAATAGGTTATGTTGACAGCAACCTTCTATCTAGTCAAGATGTCGACTTCTGCCAACCTGGTCTATACAAGGTGTGGAGATCTAGCCCTAACGTATGTGTTGGTAGAGGGAAAAAGGTAAACATTGCGGGGGAGGATGATCATGACTTCATAACACAGGTATTCGGTGACGATTACGAAGTTTTCCGTTGCGATAGGAATGCTGCTTATAGCCGGAAAGTTAAAAGTAGAGGTGTTTTAGTAGCTGTACATTCTAGGTTTAAAGCGAGGTTACTACAAAATAATACTTGGATATGCTTAGAGCAGGTGTGGAACTCGATCAAACTGGGTACGATCGCCTTGTTTCTCTGAGTGGTGTACCTTCCTCCCGACCGTATACGTGAGCGTGACCTCATCGAAACCCATTGCCAATCGATTTTCTCTGTTCTAGATACCGCTAAAGCAACCCATGAAGTTATTGTGCTTGGTGACTTCAATCTCCCGGAGATTTCATGGAAAAAATCGCAACGGCTTCCTCTATCCTGATGTGGATCACTTTGTCATGCATTCCAACGCTTCGCTCCTTCTGGACAATTACAGCTCAACCACTCTTTCTAAAATCAATCATGTTATTAACCAGAACAACCACAGTTAGGATCTTTGTTTTGTAAGCGCCCAGGACATAGCTCCTTTCTTATGCAAGGCGCCCACTCCTTTGGTGAAACTGGATCAGCACCACCCGCCGCTAGTGGTGACGTACTAAGCTGATGCATGATTTTAATATTTCACCTACCACCGTTTTCTACGGTTTTCGCAACGCCAACCATGGTAGTATCACCGAGTTACTCTCCAGTTTGGATTGAGACGACTTATTGGGCCCCGTTGACATTGAGTCTGCCGCTCAAACTATTTCCAATGTCTTGGCATATGCCATTGACAGACATACAATTCACTAAGCACCGCACACTATTCCCTCAATGCCACTATGTCAGGATCAATCACGAATACAAACGAGTTGTGAAATGGTGCTTTCTCGCGTCACTTTTCAAATAGACCAATGTAACAAATGTAAACATATCGAGTTAAGCGATACAAGCTATTGCTCTTCTATCATTGTATGTGATACAAAAACATCCATCCTAATTTACTTTCATTTATTTAAAATAATCATTGATCAAAAATTGTCCAATGTACAGTTTGAAATGATGGGTACATGATTGTTACTTCGGTCATTCGGACTGCCTAATATGATTGGTGCTCATTTTCCAAAGGCGGGGCCAATCTAAAGTTAGGTACTATACTCTGAAATCTGTGAAAGGGAATCTAGTATCATGTAGACAAAACGTCCAATGAAACACTGATTGATTATGTCAGTGAGAAAAAATCGTCCAATGTAACATGTCAGATGTACAACTCGACTTGTCAAAACGTCCTATGTGGTTTTTTCTATGTTGTAGCATGAAATTCAAAGTAAAATTGTGATTTTACCGTTTCTTCTGAAT